CAATAAGATGTTAAGATGCAGCCAATAAACAATAAAATTCCATGCGTTAGAAGTGTGTACAAACATTCACCCAAATCGATTTATGCATATTGAACTCATTCAAGTCATTAATCGCAGTTTATAATTGTAAAAAGTGCTACATAACACAGCATAAAGTTCAAAAAATTAGGTTAAAGCATTTGTATTGTACATTCATTTCTTTAGTAATATTTAATACTCTAAAGACTAGTTACATGTGAGTATTTGGTACTGTGTTAGAGGTGCCAGAGATTTTGAATTGTGCAATGCTAAAATAGAAAATTGAAGTGTTTCAGATTATAAATTTAAGTTCTGACGAAATAATGGGATGTTCAATTTGTTTATCTTTTAGTCAATATAGTTAAACTTTAATAATTTTTAAAAAAAATGTAGTAAGTTGAGAACATTAATATCTATCTAATTTTTCATTTTCTTGAATATTTCCAGCTTCAAGTTAGTAATGCCCAACATGGAATTTTAATTTTTTTTAATTCATGTAAAGCAAATGAGTCAATTAAAAGTACTAAAATCCTGTCAAACCTTCGAAGACTAAGAACAATGAAACGAACAGATATTGCAGTAATTAATAATGAGGCCATAATCCTTTGCTCCAAGTGTTGTGTCTTACCAAGTTGTCTTTATTTTATTTTTTTCTAAAATCAAAATTGTCAAATTGCTCCAGCTTGTCGTGTTTTTAAGGGGTAATTAGGGCAGAGAATTGGGGGGAGAAAGGCGACGGAAATAATGAAAAAGAGAGGAAGAAGAGGGACCGGGAATAAGATTTGGGTTTTGGACAAAACCCACGAACTTAGTCAGGAATGGAGAAATGACATATTTTTAGATATCATTCCAATATTTCAATTCCAATACCAGTAAACCAAACATGAGTTATGGGGTTTATTCCATAACCCCATTCCGATACCCTCTTACCAAACGCCCCCTAACTATTTACACCTGTGCAATTGGTAGGCCTAAGGGGTCAGTTATTATTAATTTTTGATTGTAAATCAATTAGTTACTTAGTATATGCTGCTGTAGAGAAGGAATATCCCACGCTTGACATCAGGAAAAGCAAAAATATATGGTGCCAAATCTATAAAATTGGCAAAATATGGGGGCAACACCTTTAGCCGTCACAATCAGGAGTTAGCCGGGGAATGTCGCCCCTGACCACTGACTAAATCCTTCTAGAACCCCACTTGGCTACTTGGCTTATGCCACCTAGTAAATGTCGACGAAATTCATAAATCTGTGGTCCAATGTTTTATCCTTAATTCATATGACTCGTGTATGTTACGCAGTTGACCATTCATAAAAAAAAAAATCAACCTATCATATTTGAAAGATTGGTTGAAATAATTATTATAATATTTTTATGATTTGATATATATGAAATAAAAATAATTTTAAAATAATAAAAAAAATATTCTCAAAAATGTTTTTGCGATAAAGTAAATAATTTTTGATCACATAATTATTATTTAGACATATCAATTTAAAATAATTTATACTCTCTATATACTTTTCATTTTGGAATATATCAAAATATTTGTCATATTATAAAACTTAAAGCCGTTTTTTAACCTTTATTCCTAATGATGTCCCTTCTTTTATTCAAAGGTATCTTATATTCAGATTTAAAATTTGAAATTTGTAGAGTAAAATTGAAAAGAAAAGTATAAACTTCATAATCAAAATATTATTTTTAAAAAAGTTAGATTCCCGAAATATAACAAACAGATTGGACGGAGGGAGCATTACTACTTATTTCATATTTTTTTGATAATTCATTTCTACCCTCCGGTAATAGTTTCCTTAGTTTTTCGTATTAATAAACACATGTCAAAAACACATTCACCATTTAAGGATTTGTTGTATTTTTCATTATACTAACCAATAATAGAAGTAGAGATCAAGGCTGATATTTTCCTTAAGCACAGTCCAACATCAAAGAGTACCGTTCGATCTGTTATCACCAACTTGATGTCGAGGCGCCACGGTGCGGCGGCTGAGCTTGTCTCCATCTCATTATTGCCCACGCAGCCGACCCCTGGCCCTTATCCCTTCGCTTTTAAGCCTGAAAAATAATTTAAAAATAAGACTATTCTAAACCACTTGTGGAACTCGTGGCAGCCACCATAACTTTACATGCATATCCTCCGCTCCTGGCAGCCACCATAGTTTGGAAAACTGTTTTCGTCCCCCCCTCCCCCCGGCCCCCCAAAAAAAAAAATTGTGTTACATTTTGCAATGAAATTGGATTTCTCAACTGTAAAAATTTAAGTTCAATTTTTAGATAGTAATGATCATACAAATCATGAGAGATACATCACTTGTTTCTGAATTATATTTGTTGCAATGATATATTTGTTATGTATGACAAAAAAAAAAAAATCTGTTTCTAAAGCTTCCACCCTTGGTTTGGTAGATGATTTTGACAATTGATAGTCTCTAGATTTGATTGCAAAAAAATTGCATGTGCATTTCATTAAGGTGATTTGGGTTCTTTTCGGTAGATTCGCTCTTCATTTCTCGCATTGTACATCTAAATATATGACATGTGTATTCATTTACTAGAAAGAGACATGATCGTTTTAAATTTGATTAATCCTAATTTTTGTTAATAAATAAAGACACGTGTCGTGTATCTAAACATGTACTGCGAGAAATAAATAGAGAATCTACTGAAGAAAAGTCAAGTCCTTCATCAAGGAAATGGTTGGTTGCAAATAAAAATAAAGTGAAGAAAGATCCTTTTTTTCTTTTTTTCTTTTTTTGTAACCCTTCCGTTCTTTCCTGCACGATTTTCACTTCCGATAATACTAGATATTGGATTCGAATCATGAACTCAATAGCAGGAAGAACAATAAAAAACATCTCCTTACCATTGGACCAACCTTGTGCGATTGATGCGCATAACTTCAGCCCACCGCCGCTGAATTGCAAATTTATATAGTAGTTCATACAATTGACTAATTGCTAGTTGATTTTTGACTCTTCTAACAAATTGGAATGATGTGGCAAGAGGACAAGTGAATTTAGGATAAATTATCTTTGTGTATGGATAGCATAAAATACACCTTTCCCTTTCCTTTTTTTAGGTTAAAAAAAGGAACAGTTCTTTGCATTTTGTTTTTACAAAAAAAAGGGGGAAAAATGCTCCATCATTTCTATAATTTTTATTCTCTATCCATCCTTGAGGACGGCGAAAATGAACAAAGATGAGGATTTCGTGGTTATTCGTTATTGGTGCTGTTTATTTGTTTATAGATCATCAAAACTCAAAAGATCTGCCTCCAAGTCGTCCTCTGACAAAAGTGATCTTGGAAAACAAAGAAAAAAGAGGTGCAACGAACTTTTCTAGCTTGGATTTGACGACTTATTCAAATTGAACATTTTAACCAATTAATTATTCAGTTTCCCCCGTCACCATTAAAATTATGTTACTGCTTTAGTCACAAAAAAAAAAATTGCACAACGTTAAGTTGTAGTGGCATACAAACTTTGACATTTAACTCCATTTTTTTAATCTTCTATCTTTGAGCGATATTTCTTAATTAAAGAATTATTCAAACCTCTGATTTATGCACATTCTAGTGCACGGTAATTACAAAAAAAATTTTATTTGTCAATAAGTTACAATTTAGTATCACGAAATAAGAATTATAAAAAGAAATAAAACACAAGTAATTAATAGTTTTATAAATTAATTATAACTAACTAATATAACAAAATTCTTATTTTACCGCCAAAATTTAAAAATAATAAACATTGAATATGGATATTTTTTTCATATTAATAACAAGATTAGTAGTAAGATAGTATCTTACTTTCTTTTATTTATCGTGTTATCCTTTGTTCACTCTTTAACGAATTCGCCAGTATAGTGCTATCAAGTCGAGTCGAACATGAGTAGCACGATGTTTGATTTCGAACTCAATCAATACCAATGTAAGCTACTTGTGCTCGAGTTTGAGTTCGATTTTTGATAAGACATGAACCCATAATAGCTATTTTATAATTATATATATTATATAAATAATACAACTATCCGATTAGACTCGTTGAATACTCGAGTACTAAATACTAATGCCTGAACTTGACACACTATATACATTGAGTAGCTTGAATTCAAGTTTGAACTTAATCAACTAAGTGTTTGATCAAGCTGCTCGCAAGTTATTCAGAAGTAACTTGACCCGCCTACACCCCTCATTCGCCGATAGGATTAGGGATGACAACGGGGGCGGTTGCCCGAGGGGAGTCATTGGGGCGGGGGCGGAGGGGAATTTCTCCCCCCGTTTAGAAAGGGGGCGGGTATACTCCCCTACCCCGCCACCCGTTTGAAAATATATATATGTACATAATTATATATATAATGATATTATCAATTATACTACTAATTATACATGTTTGTTAATAAGAATTATTAATTATTTATACTAAATTTATTAATACATTTATGTTAAATTCCTAACTATACTTAATACAATAACACTTTTTTCTAAAAAAAAATACAATAATAATTTAGTGATTGTATTTGTATCAAAAGTGAAAATTTGATTATTTTAGTTATATTTGTTTTATCATATTAGATTGTATTCAAATAACCTTTGTTTAATTATTTTTATGAGTTTTAATTGTGAAATTACAATGAATAATAATTTGGTGATGTGTTGATATTTTAGTACTTGATTATTTACTCAAATTTAATTATAATAAAATTATATAATAAATTTTTTTAACCCTACGGATGCCCCCTCGGGGGAAGCGGGGCCGGGGTGGATCAGGGAAAACCGGGGGCGGGGGGAATTAAAATGCAACGGGGCGGGGATTGGGGGAGGTGTCCCCCGCCCCATTGCCACCCCTAGATAGGAACTCCATTTCGGACTTTAGGCTGAACTGCAAAACAAATTTAACTTGGCTGTTCTTATGCGTCCAAGTACTTAAGGCCAAAGCCCATTCCTCCGAATAGGCCGCAACAGACAACAGGCCCATTACTGCTCGCCACAATGCTCCGATTTCACGCAGACGAACTTCTCAGCGCCACCAATTGAAAATGTTAAGAAAGACGACTTCCGATGTGATTTCCCGTTCTTATTCGTATAACCTTCACCGTCGCCGGGCATCATTTTCTTCATCTTCTTGCAAATTGGCGGTCACCAATGAGGTTCTCAATATCATTGAGCAAATTAGCCCAATGGAGCCAGCTCTTGAGAAGGTAGTCCCTTTTCTAACTCGTGAAGTGGTAGCTTCTGTTATTGAAGAAAAAAAGAAAAACCTTGAATTGGGATTTAGATTTTTTATCTGGGCTATGAAGAACAAGCGTCTTCGCAGCCGGGCTTCACATAGTTTAATAGTTGACATGCTTGTTGGGGATAATTGTAGTGGTAAAAGTGGTCATCTTGATGGGTTTGAGTTATATTGGAGGATTTTTGACGAGGTTAGGAAACGGGTGGGTCCTATGGATTCAGCTGCATTGGCCGTATTGATTTCGGCGTATTGGAAGATTAAAAATGCTGAAAAGGCCGTGGAAACATTCGGGAAAATGAGAGAGTTCGATTGTACACCGGATTTATATGTTTATAACATAATATTGCATGTTGTAGTTAAGAAAGATGTCATTTTGTTAGCGTTGGCACTGTATAATATGATGTTGAAATCAAATTGTAGGCCTAATTGCTCGACTTTTAACATTTTGATCCATGGGTTGTGCAAGAGTGGGAAGACTCAGGATGCGTTACATCTGTTTGATGAAATGCGTGATCTAGGATTGTTGCCTAATAAGACTACCTACACTATGATTCTCTTGGGTTTGTGTCAGGCGAAGAGGACTGATGATGCACATAGGCTGTTTAATTTGATGAAGACTAGTGGTTGTTTGCCGGATAATGTCACTTATAATGCTTTGCTTAATGGGTTTTGTAAGTTGGGCAGGGTTGATGAGGCATTTGCCCTGTTGAAGTCTTTTACAAAAGATGGCTATGCCGTTAAACTACCAGGCTACAGTTGTTTGGTTGATGGCTTGATTAGAGCCCGTAGGATTGATGAAGCACACGAACTCTTTCAGAAACTTTTTGAGATTCCTGTGATACCTGATCGAGTATTATATACGACTATGATGCGTGGGCTATCGCAAGCTGGAAGGTTAAAGGATGCTTTGAATCTGTTGAAGGACATGACACAAAGGGGTGTTGTACCAGATACTCAATGTTACAATACTTTAATTAAGGGGTTCTGTGACATAGGTCTGTTAGATCAAGCGCGGTCTCTTCAGCTAGAAATTTCAAGGAATGATCTCTTCCCTGATACATGCACTTATACTGTTTTAATTTGTGCTTTGTGTGAGAATGGCATGGTTCGAGAGGCGCAGAATATTTTTGATGAGATGGAGAAGATTGGCTGCTTTCCCTCTGTTGTAACCTTTAATTCTCTTATTCATGGTTTATGTATGTCTGGTCTGCTTGAGAAAGCTCACCTTATGTTCTACAGGATGGAGATAGGAAAAAACCCTTCATTATTTCTAAGGCTTTCTCAGGGTGCAGATAGAGTTCTTGATAGTGCAAGCCTCCAAACAATGGTGGAGAAATTGTGCGACTCTGGGTCGATATTAAAAGCTTACAAGCTTCTCATGCAGCTGGCTGATAGTGGGGTTGTACCAAATGTCATAACATACAACATTTTGATAAATGGCTTATGCAAAGGTGGCAATTTGAATGGTGCTTTCAAACTTTTTGAGGAGCTCCAACTCATGGGGCATTCTCCCGATAAAATCACATATGGAACTCTAATAGATGGGCTTCAGATGGCTGGTCGTGAAGAGGATGCATTTAAGCTCTTTGAACAGATGAGTAATAATGGATGCACGCCTGGCCCAGAGGTTTACAAGTCACTTATGACTTGGGCTTGCAGAAAGATGAAGACATCTCTGGCTTCTAGCATTTGGTTGAAATATATGAAGGCTGTTGGTGGTGAGGCAAATGAAAAAATTGGGTCCATTGAAAAACATTTTGAGGAGGGAAACTTGGAAATGGCTGTTAAAGGGATACTTGAAATTGATTTTCAGTCAGTAACTTTTGATTCTGCACCTTATAATATTTGGCTCATTGGTCTGTGTCAGGCACAAAGGACAGAGGAGGCTTTAAAGGTTTTCTCCATCCTTGAGGAGCTTTCTATAAATATATCTGCTCCTGGTTGTGTGATGTTAATCCAGAGTCTTTGCAATGATGGAAAGCTGGATCAGGCAATTAGCATTTTCCTGTACACTCTGGAGAAAGGCATCCGATTGATGCCACGAATCTGCAACAATCTACTAACTATGTTACTTCATTCTCAAGAGAAGGCGGAGGATGCATTTTATCTCTTAAAAGAAATGAAGTCCATGGGATACAATTTTGATTCCTATCTTTACAAAAATACTAAATCCCTTTTAATTCATCATAGATATAGAAAAGTAAGAAAACTGGAAAGTGTGTCACATGGGTAAGTTTCTAGCGATTGGTTTTCATTCAACGTTGCAGATTTTTGGCTTCTCTGCCCCATCTGGAGAGTACTAGGAGGTTATTTTTGAAGTAGTGTTTATCTGGCAGATTAAATCCACAAACCCACTTCTGTTGGTCTAAAATTGGGTAATTTGGGTTCCTACATGAGTTATGGCTTGGTTTTCAGTTTCAGATTCTGGGTTTCCATTTCTCCAAATGTTTTGCTTGAAACTAGACCTGTATGCTTAAGACAGAAATCATTGGTACCTGGTCTGTTTTGGGTTCATGAAGGTGGTCTATACTGCACTAGTTGACTTCTATTTCCACCCTTCACATTCCACTTCAGCAGCCGCTCATATGCTTTTCTGGGTAAAGGTCTCACTTCTGAATTCTGAGTCCCTTGAAGAATGAGTTTGGTCTTTTCTGCATGTTGGCACCATGATGATACATGGATCCTATTTAAAGGACAGATGCTGCTTCTTCTTCTTTAAAAACTGAAGCAGTAAGCATAAGCCATCATAAACATGACAAGATGATTCTCAGCAGTTTTGCTTAAAGGTTAAGAGTGCCATCCAAGGCAACCATGGAAGAGAGCAGTTTCTACTAGAATTGACAAGGGCCATAAGCTGCAGTTCAATGTGCCATGAACGTGTTGGATCTTCATTCTTCACCGCTGTCAGTGGGTAATCACTTTTTCTCCCCACAATGTTTCAAGAATTATCAACCTACCTAGGGTTATTTCCTTTTGTTGTTCCTTATTTTTCAATGTATGTATTCCAGCCTTCTGCTTATATTGGATTTATTCTGAAAAACTAACTGCAAATGACGAAAGGTATATGGATTGGCCTTTTGCGAGAATTTAGCAATCCAGATTGACTCTGAACTCCAATAAGCAATAGCTGATGGTGCGGTTTTCCTCAAATTATTTGATATTTTATATAATTTTATTTCTTTTTCTATATCTGGTTCTCTGCTGCCATTTTAATGTCTTTTTTGGTGTTTTTGGGAAATTAATCTGGTTGGTTGTTGCTGTACTTTCTTCTTTTAGTCTGAATGGTTTTCTGGAGTTCATTATATTAGACCGGAAACCCTGTCAATCGCATCAACGGTTATGGTTTTTTAAGGGATATACTCTGAAGCATGAATGGTGGTAGCTGCCACCCTGCTGGTTGTCGAATTCTATGGATTGGAATTTGCAAGCTAGGATGGATTATAGCTATCATGGGTGTAGCATAGTTGTTTTGGCAGTTCAGTTGCTTTTGAGTATCTAACTTTGCACTTGGCAGTTACTACTTTTTGGGGTTCATAGGTACAACTTCCATGGCCCTAAAAATGTAGTGGCGTTTTGTTTTGAAATGCTTGGACCTATACAATGAGAACACATAAATGGCATTTGGAGCCTAAAGATTTCATGACTTGTTAATACATGTACCTTAAGCCTGCTTGAATTCACGAGTGGGAATATATTACATGTTCTTTTTAAATTATGTTTTTAATTTTTTCCATTTATAGATGTGATTTTGTTTTAACAGATTCCTGTCATGGTTCATTTTGGTCTGACATACTGCTAAGAACTTGGACATTGTATTCTAAACAGGTTACTGCCTACCTATTAATCGCCCAAGTCTGTGTTCTGTTCCCAAAATATTTTACTTGAAGGCCGACCTGTATCTTAAGATACAAGTTAGTATGTGGTCTGTTCTGGGTTCATGAAGGCGGTCTATGCTTCAAAAGTTCACTTTTATTTCCGCCCTTTGCATTCTACTCCAGCGGTCGGTCTTATGCTCTTCTCGACCGAAGTCTCACTTCTGAATCTTAACCCCCTCGAGGATGAGTTTTGAGTTTTTTGTGCATGTTGGTACTGTGATGATTTATGGATCTTATTGAAAGGACAAAGGTTGCTTCTGTTTCTTTCAAACCTGAAGCAGTAAGCGTCTCATTCATAAACATAATAAGATGATGCTCAGCAGTTTTGGTCAAAGTTAAAGACAACCGTCCGAGCAACTCTGGATGACTGCCAACTTCTTCAAGAAATGACAAGGGCTATAATCTGCTGTTCAGTGTACCAAAATTGCATTGGAAATTCATTCCTCACTGCTGGTGTTAGTAGGTAATTACTTTTTCTTCCCATATGATATCAAGAATTTTCAAAGTAGCTAGGATTATTTCATATTGTTGTTCCATATCTTTTAATGTACTTGTCATCCTTCTGCTTAATTTGGATTTCTTTTGGAAACCTAACAGCAAACGACAAGAAGTATACACCTCCCAACTCCAAAAAAGCAATAGCCGATGGTACTGTTTTTCGCAAATTATTTGATTTTTTAATATGACTTCATTGATTTTGGACAATCTGGTTCTTTGTTGCCATGTTGATGTCTTTTTGGGTGTTTTGTGCGCTTTTGACCTTTTGTTTTTGCTATTTGGGAAATCAATCACTGGTTGGTTGTTGCTGCACTTTGTTCTTCTAATAAAATTGCTTTTAGGGAGTTCATTATGATCAACAAGTATGATGTTTCAAGGAATGTCGAATTGTGCTGACTGGACTTCGCAAGCTAGGCATGGATTATAGCTATTCTTGGTGTTGCACATTGTTTCAGCAGTTCATTTGCTTTTGCATAGTTGATTTTGCACTTGGCAGTCACAACTTTGTGGGGGTTTTTGGTACAACTTCAATGGCCCTTAAAACCTTTTGCTGTTTGGGAAATTAATCACTGATTGTTTGTCATTGCACTTTGTTCTTTCAGTTTGAATGCTCTTCTGGAGTTCATTACCATCAATAATTATGATTTTTTAGGGGGATACTACGATGCATGAAGAGTAGTGGCTTCCACCCTGCTGGTTTTTGAATTGTGCAGACTGGACTTTTCAGGCTAAACATGGATTATCGCTATTCTGGGTATTGCACAGTTGTTTCGGATAGATCAATTGCTCTTTTCCATAATTGAGCTTGAACTTGGTAGTCACTACTCTTGTGGGGTTCAAAGTACAATCTCGATGGCCCTAAAAATTTTGTCCTGTTCTGCTTTGTAATGCTTGGACCTATACAGGGTGAATGTATGAATAGAATCTGAGGCCTGAGCATTTCTTGATTTGTTAATACATGTACACTTAACTAAGGCTGCTTGCATTTACAACGGGGGAATGTATACACATGATAAAATACAAGATGTATCTTCTGTTATTTCATGTATAGATGTGATGTTTTGTCAACTCATCAGTTTTGTTTTGACATACTGCTAAGAGCTTGGACAATTGTACCTTCTAAACAGGTTGCTGGTTACCTATTGGTCGCGCAACTCTTGACTCCTGTTGCTCTTTCTCTCTCTCTCTCTCTCTCTCTCTCTCTCTCTTTAATGTTTCTTTTGTGAAAAACTCTTTCCAATTGCATTATGAATGAAATTTCTCCACAGGTTGTTAATTAACACACCACTGAATGGTCTATTGGCATAATATCCCTTTTCAGTCAGCCCCAGGAGGCCTGGTTGAATTGTTGAACAAACAACCATATACAGGTTCAGCGTTACAGTATTCGATTTAAACCAAATAATTTTGTTCCCTTTCCAAAAACTGTACAATAGGGAGAAAAAAAAATTTAAAATGAAGCCGGTGAAACTTTACAGCGCAAAACCGATTAAAAATCAAGCTAACTTTCCATTTTCACTGACTTGACATTATTATGGCCCTTCACTTAAGCCAAAAGTAAACTCGCTATCGTTTTCTCTGGCTTTGAATTACATAATCTTTTGGACTACACAGTTATAAATCCTGCATATAGGCGTTAATGGGAGAAATCACTAACTGATGACAGTTGTTTCGTGAAACAGAGCATCTATTATAGCGAGACATTTACATGTTATGGCTTTTTCCCCCACCCCTGATGCAGACTCGGTGATTTGAGAGATAAGCTGCTATAATCCTTTCTGTTATTTATCACATTGAGCAGACGAATGAAACTAGATTCCTGAAACCAAGCCATGGAAGTTTATCCAAGCTATGTAAGAACATCAAGATTATGCACTCCCTGTTTCTGCTGCAACTGCCAGATCATTCCTATAAAATTTTTACTCCACCTATCAATGCTTGGGCTTGCGAGGAGGATTCTCTTGGCTTTTCCAGCGATGCTTCAACCTTACTTCTCCTCTTCATGGATTCTGTCAAGCATTCAAAATTGTAATCAAATGAAATGAGCAAGAGAAAAAGTTTCTTCCTGCGTATGGAAGACATGGAAGGATCAAGATAGAAGATCCTCAATTTCATCCTTGTTACTTGGGCATGATGTGCAAGGTAACTCTGGTCCTAGACTTAAGTGGAACATTTTCAGTCAAAAAATAAAGCATAAGCAATTCCAAGCTATTCACATTCGAAGAAGAAGTAATTATAGAACTCAAAGATTTACATGATTAAATGCCTTTGAGAAGGTTTCCTGAGGAAACCAATACAAAGCCAAACTAGTTGTAGCTTGACTGAAGTTGATTAGTCAACAAATTCCAGGCTTGGTCAAGTCAATCAACTCAGTGATATATTATCTGCAATTCAGTCTAAAAAGTAGCAATTTGAGTCAAAAGCTTTTTGCAGTCAGACTCAAGGATTATATGAAGATAAATCGAATTATCAAAGCCAAGCGATTGTTCAGATGCGCCACTACTTAGAGCTACACACACATTGTGACAAAATTGAAAGCTTAAGCATGGAATGGAATTCAGGTTCTAATGTAAAATCACTTTTAAAGTTAAAAACTCAATTTCAGGAACCTCTGATTGCCTTCTACTATCTTATTTACATGCATAAAAATAGGTCAAAAGCAATTTTCCAGAAAGATTCCTCAAGATAAAAGCATGCAACAAATCAAATCTTTCAGTTTTTTGAGGCTTCTTCAGTTTCTTAGTAAGAATAGGGAGTGGTATTCTGCATAAATAGTATGCAACAGAGATGCTAATTGCCCCTTTGAGTGCTAACTTACCAACACACTCTTGTATGGTAGCTCCATACTGAATTCCAGCGCTTTTTTGAGCAAAGGATAGTATGTCATGGTACATTTTCATTGAAGGCTGAATTCCTCCATCCTCCATCCATTGCAGAACCTGCATCAGAATTTAGCTGAATATAGCTCAAGGAGAGACTGAATGAATGAGTAAGATTCAGTATATTCCATTTCCAACTACAAATGGGAACAGCTATCTCATATAATCCCAACTCAAAAAACATGACATGTCAAGTGCTTCCAGCCAGAAGCAGGATGTAGTGACTTTTAACTCCAAGATTCCTAGATTTCATGCCAATTGAGCAGTCTTCTCAAACAGGCAGAGTAAATATAATACCAGATTCATAATCTTGTAACTGGAACTTCTCCATCTATAGCTTTTCCCCTATATAATATTTAAGGACAAGTTTACCTGCATAATCCAGAAGGGTCATCACCTAATTCTTACATGAGCATTTTGGTGAAGGCACATATTTTAGTTTAGTAGTCCAATGATCATGACAATATGTCCAGATACACAGGCACATGCACATTGATGCATGTCTATATCAATGTATAAACAGGGAAAATAACAGAGGCATTTTATGAGCTTACCTCCACATATTTCCTCCAATTTCCAGAAGCCAAAAGATTCTTTAAGAGAATTGAATACGTTGAGAAGTTGACTTCACTACCTAATGCCACCATCTTGTAGAATAACTGTATTTGATACGAAAAGGATAATAAAGGCATCATGACTCAGACTTCAAATTAGGAAAGAGAAAATAGATCCTACTTTGCGTCAGGAAATGCTGTTGCATTTATTCTAGGTATAAGAGAAGAATAAATGAGAAGCTTCCAATTACCTTCATCATGGTTTCAATCTTCCCAGATTTCCCGATAGAATGCAAAAGTTGATTAAGAGTTCCAACAGAGACAATAGCTAATGAAGTCTCCATCATTTTTATAATTTCAGTAGTTCTTCTCCAATCTCGCAAGCTTCATTCACAAACAAATGATTTAAAGACCAGGAATAGAAAACACAGTGGAATTTCTGAAGCAAGTTCACAAGTTGCTATCCAGTACCAATCACAGAAGTTTTATAATAGGGAAAACTCCGCTATAATTCTACTAATCCAATAACATGAGCATAAAGGAAAACCATCACATTTGAGATAATTCCAGATACCCCTAAACTTTGCCAGTCAGTGATCAGTTGCATTCCTAGTTTAGCTCTTGTATTTTTGGTTTGACAACAATAAGACATGCCTTTGAATGATTAATCAATTTGCACTAGCATGTTAATCAGAGATGACCAAGTATTTCACCATGTTCCAGAAACCTATTAAGTTACATGAGGAACACTAGAAACCACTCAACATCGTTCCCACTTTCTTATGCTAAGCTGATTTAGCATGTTTTCTTTTTCTGTAACTTAAAGCAAAAAGCTGTTACATGGTGCAGTAAATTTCACAAGTGCCACTGATCCAACCAGCTAGCCACATCCATAAGTGCATTGTAAATATGTAAAAAAGAACACTTCAAATCATGCTTATAACCAGGCCACAAAAATCAAACTTATACCCACACAAAATAACAGAATCCAATCATATCCGTTAAAAACTGCAGAAGGATTCTACAATAGAGAAATTAGCATTGTAACGTGAAAAACATGCTTAAAAAGTGAAAAACTAACATGGTACATGCTGAGATAATTTCGGAGAAAATAGCATCTGACAAGGGGATCTTCTTTTCTTTCATAAAATCTGCAGCAAGCAGAACTTTTCCTGGTTGGCATCCTCTATTAAAAGCTCTCATAAGAGTTGAACAAGCTATAGAATCTGGCTGGACACCATGCAATTCCATTTCTTGAAATATTGCAAAAGCTTTCTCCCAATCATCTGCATACGGAATTTCCACAAGACATTCAGTTTGAGCTTCTTAATATCAGTAAAGGATCCCCTGTTTTTGGGGTGTTTTTCAAAAACTAGTTTTTCAAATACAATAAAAATTTTTAAAAAGTACTCTAAAAGGTAATCTAAAAATTAGTTTAAATTTTTTTTAAATTTTAAGAAATATCTCAAAATATATTCTAAAAACTCTTCTACTCTTAAATATCCTAAAATATTTTTTAAAGATATTTCAAAATATACTCTAAAAACTCTGCTACAGTAAAGTTTTTCAAAAACATCCCCAAAAACAACTAATCCAAACGGAGCATAGTCCAACATAGGATCTTACCACCAACACTATATGCATGTAGCATAGCAGTATATGTGACAACATCGGGATGAAAACCAGCCATCTTCATCATGGAAAACATTGATTCTGCTCCAGCAAGTTGACCCTGAGAGACAGAGAGAGAGAGAGAGATAAGTATGGGAGAATCTAATTACAGGGACAGTAGTCACAAATCGATAGTCCTTGCCTGTTTACTATAGGCACATATAGCAGATGAATACACCTCTTGGGATAATGGAACTTTGAGGTCCAACATTTCATTGAGAAATTCAAGTGCATTAGAGAACTTTGACATCTTACAGCAACCACTTATCAACACATTGTAAGTGACAGAATCGGGTTTAACATTATGTTTCCTCATCGACCCATATAAAATTATTGCTTTATCAAAGTCCCCAAAATTCATGTAACTTCCAATCGCAGAATTATATGCAACTGTGTTCAATTTAATGTGCCGCAACTCAGCAGCTCGCAATATGGATTCAATCTTCACTTTTTGACAACACCTGCCACAGGCCGCCAACAAGGTACTAATTGTAACAACGTTAGGTTGGACGCCATTCTGCTCCATTTCATGCAACACTTCAACAGCTTCAGATAAAAGCCCATTATAACCAAAGGCATCAATGAGAGCATTATAGCTCACTAGATTTGGTTTGCAATGGTTCTGTTTCATCATCTCAAATATTTCCCTGGCCTTCTGTGGTTGCTGTGACCTTCCATAAGCATTGAGCAAAGATGTAAAAGAGACAACATCTGGCCTGAGTCCCTTCTGTTTCATCTCATGAAAAATTGATAAGGCCTCTGTACTCATCCCAGATGAAGCATGTGCACCAAGTAATGCATTATATGAAACAACATTAGGCTTCAAACCTTCTGCTAGCAGTGAGTTAAAAACAGCTTTGCAGTTTTCAACCTGGCCCAAAACCGAATACATATGCATGATACTAGTAAATGTTACAACATCAGGGTGACATTCTGCTCTTTTCTCTCTCATTGAATTAAAAAGTTGAACAGCTTTCTCATATTGACCAAGCTTTATCTGGCAATGTATAATAATATTAAGGGTAGTAGTGTCAGGACGAATATTTGTTC